AGAGAAAAAATTAGAAAAATGAACTTGAGGATTGAGGAATAACAATTGTAGTGAAATTAAACTTGCAATTAAACTTTTTTCCCTTTCTGTCCAAGTACTGAAATATTTTCAATTTTAAGCATTAAAGTGTATTTAACAAATTTGCTTTAATAAGTTATCAAATGTAATCTTCTAATAAATACTAGTTGACATCACAACTAGTTGTCACTAATATTTAAGAAAAATAAGTTGAGAGAAATCTCTGTCAGTACTATTTTTTTTTTATTGATATTATAAAACTTTGTTGAATAGAGTGTGGTTGCTGCAATATTATTGCTCAACATGTTGATGATTTGAATGGCTCAACATTTTGGTTCTCTTTTGGGGTTTAATTTTTTGTGCCCGTTTGTTCCCTGAAGGGTTTCTTTTGTCCATGTTGCTATGTTACACATTCAAAACTAAAATAGTTTTGTGTGAAACAAGAGACGCATAAAAGTGCATAATTATATAATCATCAACCAAATTTCAATCAATGATATGATTTGTTATGAAATTTTTTTTAACATTTGACTAATTTATTTTTTTTCACGAGGCAATCTACTTGAAACATTATTTTTATAACACATTATTGATGTAAAATATTTATCAAATTTGATTGATGATTAATTTTTATAAGTGAAATTATATATATAAAAAAACCTGTATAAGTGAAATTAACCATCTATTTTTAGTCTTTCTCTAAATAATATTATTTATTATTTATAAGATTTAAATTTAAGACTTTTTTAAAAGAATTAAATATAGTTTAACTCCAAACAACAACTCAACTTGTTAACAAATGAAATAAATTAATATTAAACATGATATCGATATCTCTTCTTATTAAAATTTACACCACAATTCACCTCCTTTATTAATGACTAGAAGAGCTAAGACATTTCGTGTCTCTAATAATTAGACATAAACAAATATTAAAAATTACAAATAGTTATTCAGAAATGATATAAATTTTTTTTTTTCATCTAAGGAGTATAATGATCTACTACAAAGTGGAAAGTAAAAGGATGGTTACCAAAATATATTCCCTTTATAAGTACACGAGAGGTCGAGGCACTTCGTGCCTCTAATAATTATATATAGATAAAATATTAAAAGATTGTGTGTAATTATTTATAAAGGTTATATAAGATTTTTTTTTATGTTTGAGGGGTATAATGGTCCACTAAAAAATAGAGACCAAAAATAATTACATATTCAAGTATTCCCTTTATATATTAGTATAAATAGGAATTTTATCTTTTTACGGTCAATAATGATTATAATTTTTTTATACTGAAATAATTATTATAGTTCTACATTTATTTCTGTAAAATAATCTTTTACTTTAAACAAAATATTATATAAATTTTTATTTTCATAATAGTTAGTAATAAAAAAATCATATTAAATTAATTAAAAATCACTTTAAATATAACTTTTAAATATTTATAAAAAAAATATTATGACAATATATAGCTGAATAACAATGTAAAAAATATCTCCACTAATAATATATTATAAATAAATTTTTATTATTATTAGTAGTATTTTAACTTGTAAAATATAAAAGATAAAATTTGAACTTTTATGTAATAACTTTTACTATAATTAAATTTATATTCATATATAAAAGCAATTTTAATGATTAATACAATTATATAACATCGTTAACAAAAACATGTATCGATGATATAAAAAAAATATTAATAATATTTTAATTGTGAACATAAATATTAATATAAAAAATGCATAGCAGATAAAATTCTCATTTGATTAGAGAGAAAAAATTATTGATGAATTTATATGAATTTTAACTTGAGTGATTTATATTTAAACTTCTAATATTTTACTTATAATTCTTCATCTGATCCTATTCTACCAGCTACTCAGATGAGACTTTCAATTTTTCCTAACAGTTTCTCTAAAGTTCAAGTGGGTGTTGGATAATCCTCCTACTGTGAATTACTGACATAAGATATTGTAATTTACAAAGCAAATTATACACATGATTCAAATATCAACTTAAATTAGAGAAAATGATAGAAGTGAAAGACTCATATCACTTAATTAAATTGAGATAAAATATTTACTTATTTAATATCTATTAAATTTCAAGAACAATTGTCTCTTCCACAGATAATAATTTATTTTATAATTTTTTTTAAAAGATGTACATGAACCACATCAGCTATATCTCAAAAGGTGGTGGGGGTCTCTTCCAGACCAATCAAAAAGTGTAAGACAAGAGAGGCTCCCTAAGCCAAGATGTGGTGCACGTTACTAATTGAGCAAATTAAAAAAGACATATAGCAGAAACAAAGAAAAAACTGCAACCAAAAAAAATCAATAAAAACCAAAAGAATTCTATCATCAAATTGAAAAGGAAAAATAGTCTAGATATTAATAATGCAAATATTTTTTATTATCTAATTATAAATTACTATATATAATAAATTTGTTAGCTTTTATATTAATTGGTTTAAAAATTATGCCTACCATAATTTATAGTTGAGTAACTGTAAGATTTTATATCGATGAGATATAAAAATAAATAAATTTATTAAAAATTTGATATAAATATATGAAAAATTACATTACTAACATTTTATGTAAAATATCTCTTACCTAAGAAATTGTGAGTGTACATAAGAAAATATTTTTTTTTCTTAATATACTTTATTTCAATCTCAAGGTTAACTACTATTATTGGAGTTATTTTTTTTTCACTCAAAATTCAAGTTTCACTTTCAACAATACATGTAATATATAAACTTTTTCGCAACAAGGAAAACATATGATCTTTTATCCTATAATTTTATCAAGACTCATATATTTATGGATTTAGACCCTTTTTTTTTTTAAGCGAATAAAAACCAAGTGATTTCTTCTAATTACAACACCCATAAAAAAGAATTTTTGGATATATTGGATATAATAGGTAATATCTTTATCAAGAATTTTCTAGTGAAAGATGATATTATTGATATAGAGAAAAATCTGGATAAAAAGTATTTCGATTGGATGGGAATCAATAGCGAAATACTAAATCGTTCCAAATCGAATCCGGAATTTTGGTTCTTTTCAAAAATTTTGATATTTTATAATGCATATAGGAGTAATCCATGAGTTATACCAATCAAATTCATTTTTTTTAATTTTAATGTAAATCAAAATGTTAGTGAAAATAAAAATAACATTACTAGAAACAAAAAAAATAATGGATATTTTTAGACCATCGGAAAAAAAAATCCCATATATTATATATACACAATCAGAATCTCTCTTATAACCCATTTTTTCATTAAACAAAAATTAGAAATTTAGGAGCCTTACAAAAACAAGAGTGGTTTAACCTTCAGCAGGTCGAATCCCAATCAATAAAAATCTACCTTAAATATCTAAATTATTATATGTTAAACCTAAAAGCTATATAAATATTTATATTAAATAGCTTTTCTTAAGGGCCTATCTAAAACAAGGAGTCGGTTTGTCTTATGCTTGGGTTGATCTTGGCTGTTAGTTTCTTAAGAAATTAGAAAGCTTAACATTTTTGGGTTGCATTTCATTTTTAATTAGTAAAAAATATTTTTTATATAATTTATTTATGCTCTTTTTTCGAAGATGCAAACAATCATAGAAATAAAAAATTATACTTCTTTCTTTCTTATTTCTCTATCCATTCAAATAACACATTTTCTACTCTATTTCTCTTTTACTTTTAGCATTACTATTTTTTCTGTTTT